CTCAGAGATCACCTTAGTCTGACCTCTGAGGCCTGGAGGGGAAGAGACCTGCCCGAGGTCGCATGCAGCTCAGCTGCAGTTGCACCGCGCCACAGACACCTGGACGGCTCCTGGGCGCCACTCCCCGCTGAGGGGACCAGGGTTGTATCACACACCTCTGTTCTCCGCTGGGCTCCCCTCCAAGGGACAACCCTGGATAAATCAAGGAAAGGAAACGGGCAGTGTGTCTACAAGGCCAGAGCTATGGGGGACAACAGGTGAGGGTATGCTTGGTGACCCCAAGACCATAGCTCCAAGTCACATGGCGCATTGTCAGAGGGGATCTTTGAGACCTCTGGATCTCACCCTCTTGCTCTAGTAATTGGGGAAACTGAGGTTGCAGGGCCGGTAGACTCCATCTCATCGACCACTTAGATTTAGTGCATGAACACAGGACCCTTCAAGGTCAGTGAGTCCAAAAGGCCCACTTCGCAGAGAGAACTTAGGGAGGACTCAAGTCTTGTATTCATCTATTCAGCACATTTACTGAGTACCTGCTGTGTGCTTAACAAGTGACTGTGGGTTCCACCTCCCCCGTTTCCCAGGCACAGGGACTGCATTTCATTAAGGAGATCTGGGGCCTTCAGAAACCCTTACATCAATCACCCTCTGGACAATCTGAGACAAGCAGACCCCTGAGTTTTCAGTCACATGGGGACTGGGACCAGGGCCATGTTTCCCCATCAACTCTCACCCCAATCAAGAAGAGATTGGAGTTAAGGGGGAATAGGAGGTCATGGATATGCATCACCTTCATCCCACCCCAACCAATGTGAAAAGGCCAAGGGCAAGTGGGGATCGGGCACCACCTCTTTCTAGTCCTGTGTCAAGTAAGCTCTCCTTCCTGCAAGCACACACCAACCCAACCCCCAACCCCTACTCCAGAATATCTCAAACTTCTAGGACCAAAGGAAGGGCCAAATCCTGATTCAGCGGGTCTGAGGCACGAGCTCCTGCGTTTCTGGTAAAGCTTTGTGGTGTTGCTGGTCCTGTCTGGGCCCAACCCTACTCCTAGGGCCCTCTGATTTCCTGCCTAGCATCAGGCTTGGGCCTGGGTCCTTCTCAGGATGCCCTAGGGCTAGAGTTGGTTGAAGCTGTAGTAAGAGGGAAGAAGTTGTACAAGGTTGGCCAAGGCACTTCCGGGACAATGCTGCAGAAGCAATATCGTGGTTTAGCAATTGCCCCAGACAGGTGTGTTCTATAGGGCTGGTCCTGGGAGATGCTGGGTGAAATAAAATCCTGTTTGGGAAAGGCTGGCTGAAAGCCAAAAGACCTTCCAGGGCAGCCTGTGGCAGAGGTGGGCTCACATAATTCAGGAAGGACACACAAATTCCAGAGTTTTCTGAAGCACCACATCTCCTCCCATCCCTTGGCTTTTTTGTATGCTGGGCCAGATGGATCCTTTAATTCAATTCCAGTCACAATCCCAGGGCCTCATCCTGCTATCCAACTTCTCCCCCAAAGGGCCCTCTCCTCCACACCATTGAACAGAGACCATGGATAGGCTCCCTACTCTGGCCGTGCCATTCCAGACCGTGACTGGATGCAAAGGTGCCCCCACCAGAGCCACAGCAAGGGGGCAAACCGAGGCAGTGGTGGTGTGGAACTAAGTGAGGAGTTGCAGCCGTGACTGTTCCTGGTCTGGACGGGCAGACTCCAAGGTCCTTAAGGGCGTAAGGTCCTGCTGGCACCAGGGGACTGACTGGCTGAGCAGGCCAAAGAATGCTCATCTGTGCCAGGCTTCCCTATTCCTTGTTTATAATCAAGGAGCTTTTCGATTATAGCATTTTCCTCTTTACAGAAAACCTCAATGCTAGAGGCTTATAATCTCTAGCGTGTCCTAGGGGGCACCATCTTGAGACTGTCAGGGCCCCTGGGGAGAAGGCAACACGTGCAGGAGGGGGCTGGGCACAGCGCCTGGCATGGAGCCTGGGTACTGAAGGGAAGACTGGACAAAGGCCCTGAGCTTTGCTTCCCCTGCCCTATTTCAATCCAAACCACTCAAGACTGACCGCTCATGCATGGCTGCCTCCAGGCACAAGCCTTTCTTTTTCAAATACTTCATGTATTACAACCTAGCTACCACCCCTGCCCTCCCAACTGCTGAAAAACGAAAGCTGTCTTCAAAAAACCTGACATCTAAGAAGCCTGGAGAATGAAAATGTGAGTGGCACAACAGTAAACTTAGAATACTGCACAAGAGCATCCTAAAATGGGAATGATGCCTCTTGGAAATAACTCTTGGAAATTCGCCCACCCCCATCTAGCCAGATCATGGGGGAGAAGAGTAGAGTCAGGGACTGCCCAGTAGAAAATGAAAGGGGAGAAAACTCAGAAGTGGTGAGTCCCCAAGGTGTGCTGTCTGTGTGAGCACTGAGGTCTGGGAGGGGCCAGTAAAGAACAGTGGCCGGGAGAAGAGAGTCAGTCCACACCAGGGAGAACGAGACAGGAGGAGCAGCAAGCTAGTGCTGGGGCCTCTGTCAGGGACGGACCTCCCTGTCTGGGTAAGGTTGCCTCGCTGATGCTAGAGATAAGGCAGAGGGGGGACCCTCTTGGATCACGAATGTGGTCAGAAGTCCCCGTTCTGGAGACAAGCCCAAAGGTGGTGACAGACCTGGTCATACCAAAGTAATAGAAAGCTCATTCCGGGGTTCTTGCTGTCACAGAAGAGTTTTTAATGGATCTTTAAGTGTTCATTTTTCCTTGCTGAGAGCTTGTTATGTGGCACACTGTGGGATACAGTGATAAATATAATGGCCAGAGCCCCTGCCCTCAGGGAGCTAAAGCAGGGAGCTAGAGCAGTCTAGAGCAGTCTAGCACTAATTAGGCTGATTCACTTTCTGGGTTTAGTGCAGTTTCAGGTGCAGACAGGATCCAGCCCAGCCCTAACCCTGGCTTTCAAGTAACAATGAAACAAGACAATTCACTCTAGTTAGAGAATTCTAGAGTCTAGCTTAGCCTCTTTCATCCAAAGAACCAGTGCATGCTACAGATGGGAAAGATGCAGCCAAACGACATAACCGAACAGGCGACTCACAGACTGGTAAGTCCACAGAGGCTTATAATTGGATGACTTTCCAAATGCACTACCCAGAGCTTCCCCAAGGGAGTGTGTGGGTGTGGGAATGGAGCTGATGAGGCCCCACCATCTCCCTCCACCTAGCTCACGTTTGACAACTTCTACACATCTTCCTTTTAGGGAGAACACTGAGGCCAAAGGGAAACACACCTGTCCAGGATCATGAAATGAGCTGGTAGCAGTTTAGTGCTCCCCCAGTTACAAATATACCAGAAGATAAACGCGGGGAAGGGAGCGCCAAGACACTCATGTGCAGAGGTCAATGTGCCAGCGGGCAATGATTCAACCCAGGCAGCGGCTGCCTAGGCCTTCTGGTTTCCCTGGGGTGTGTCCCCCACTTCCTGTGGCCCAGGCCTGCCTAGCCTGGCAGCACTAAGCAGATCTGGAATTCAAGCTGCCGTCCCAGCTGCTGTTAGAAGCCTGGCTCCCTCCCTAACTGGGAGCAATTTCACTTCAAAGGCCCCTGCCTACATAGTCTCAGCCAAGTTCTTGAAAGCAGTTTTTCCCTTGAAGCACGTTGGGGGGAAAATGGATGATGCCCTCTGTTTGAGATCAATACAGTAATTATGTTGGACAAGCTCTTAGGAGTAACTTCACGGGGGAATTCAGCCTCACGAATGAGAAAGTGGGAAAATACAGCATGAGTAGAGCCAGCGTGTCACTTGTGCGATGCAGGCCATGCAGCGGCAGGATCCAGTTCCTTTGGGACTGCGGTCATGCCTCCGCTTGGCGGGACACAGCAAAGGCTCAGTCCTGTAATGAGCTGGTGCAGGTGCCAATTCTCACTAGAAGAGGTCAGAGAACTCTTTGACGAGTCATGGGACACCTTCTGCCATCTCCTTCTCTCCCAAATCTCATGAAGCTCAGAAATCTTACCATCTGAAAATATCACCAACTTGTCTAAAATGTATGCATTAAAAAAAAGGTAATGAATGTGAGATGGTTAGCAGTATGCTATATAATACTTTGATAAAACTGGTCCTGTGGTTTATTTGTTAGGGAAGGGGAGCACAAGAAACAGTTCCAAGAACCATACTCACTAAATCTCAAGAGGTAAATAAACAACGGAACACATGATTCTCCAATCAGGAAGTAGTCTGACTGGCCAATCTTCTGTATCGCTCCCTGCTGCCTGGTGCCTGCACGGCTCTGCCTCCAAGGCTCTCAGCACCTGTTCCCGACGTTCTTGGCAGTGACAATCAAAACACTGGAAGCTGCCCCTCTAGGGCAGGACCTGCCCATCACAAAGACATAAATATTCAACACGCATTCTGAACATGTTTCAAATATCTCTCCTCATGACCCTGCAAATAAACACAGAATCAAGGTGGCTTAGTTTGGCCATTAGCTTCATTTTCCTTACATGCCAAGAGGAAAGATTTATGTAACAGGATGACTGAACACTTGTCCAGGCATCATTTTAGCTCTAAGGGCTTCCAACATTATTAGGTAGGCTCTCAAGTTCTCAGAGAAGGGGTTCCAGGTTACTTGGCTATGTGGTTACCTCTTTGTGAAGACTTGCAGAAAAGAAGATTCCACAGCGTTTTCTCACACAGACAGTCTATTATAAACCACAGGGCATTTTACCCCAACACTACTTATTACTGCTTGAGCCTTGGTGTGGGAGGGTAAAAAAGGCAGCAAGTACTGCCCTGCTCTCAGATAGGGAAACTACGACAAAGCAAAATGACTTTTCTTGAGTTATAAGGTAGATGGTGAAATGACCTGGAACACAGGTGAGCCAGCTTCCCAAACCTGCCCTTTCAACACTCACCTGCACATGCCATGTGCTATCTGAACAACCAGCAAAACTCCTTAGCTCAACTCACTCAACAGCCATTTAAAAAAAAAACAAGGGTTTGGGATGTGTGGGTTGGAAAGGTTTTCTATCTCCCTAGTAGACCTTCCCCAGCTCAAGAGGACTTGGCACAATGCTGTTGCTCAGTGAAACATGTCAGTCAAGGTGTTACCACATCACATGTTCATATAAATTTTAATGAAAAAAGGAGCCCCTTGTTGGCAAGCAAATCCTCAGATGGTATCGGTGTCCACACAATGTCTGGGGTTTGGGGATGGTGAACTGCTAGCTTTCGTAATCAGAAATTCAACTGGTGACAAAGCCCTGCACCTCATGGTGCGGGTGTGCACAGGGTACTGGCAAAGGGGTGAGAATCTTTCTATGAAAATGCTGTTTCTTTCACTGGACTGAACTCTGTGCACAGTCGCCTATAACACCAACTAACTAACATCAAGATGCCGAAGAGAAAGGATGTGATACTCCTCGCTGATTCTGTAATGGGAAAGACAGGCTTTAATGCTCATTTCACTTCTGTGGTTTGTTTAGACAGAGATAAATCATCCTTTGCCTATATAAACTGGGTTATTCAATCCCAGCATTAGTTTTAAATATTAACCAGGGTCTGACCAAGTCCATGACCACACAGATCAACCAACTGAACATTTAAAGTGACACAAAAATTCACTCTGATGATGATTCCATGGAAATAAAAGGACACTCATTTCTTTTTAATTTTGCAGAAAGGTAACAGTAATTTTAAATGACAAAGTTCACTAATGCACAGAAAGATACTTATTCCCCCAGGGAATGAGGACATCTAATTGGCAACCTGTATTTCAGGTAATTGCAACAAAGTGTATACCAGCATGGTATGTTGTATACATTAGTTTGGGATTAAGGAATGGTCAGAAATAGGAGGGAAAACCTTAAGCTTCATAATACCAGGAGACTGATCTAATATAAAAAGAAGTACACTGGTGTGACATAAAAAAAACCCCGGAGTCTGCCCTTCAATGCAGTCACAGCCCAGGAAACAATGGTCTCTATTTGCAAATACAAAGAATTCAGTTTTAGGTTATTAACACCTTGTACCTGATACCCCTGTACAAAGCACTGGAGGTGGCAGTGCAAAGCCACTAATACATGTATATACTTCTTCGTAAGTGCTTACTGTCAGTGAGAAGCAGGTCCCAGCCCAAGGCTCCTCAACTTCTAAGAGGAGAAGAACAGCTTGTGGATGTAGATTCCAATTCATTGAGTCCGAGGCCTGAGCTTGCACTTCTAATAAAGCTTCACACCTCTCCTGGTGCTTGGGGGCCACAGATGACATTTTGAGTAGCACTGGCAGAACCAGGGAAGTTGTCAGGGCAGGAAGAAAATAACTGCTGGGCTGAAGACAGACTCCTAGGAGCATCACCTGCTGAGGATGCTGGGCCCAACCCACTCCCACTCCGGGGCAGAGTTATTAAAGGAGCCAGGACTGAAACTGGGTTACCAGCCTGAAGGACTTATAAAAATGGCTGTTTTGTACCATTCCAAATTTTAAAACTGTGACTGACAGCTAACTGGCGAAACAGAGCAGATTCCCTGAAAAGAACTTCCTTTAGCCACATAGCTTCTTTATTGTAGTGAAAAGCAAATGGCTACATCAGGCGCTATGTGAACCTGTACACAAGCCTTTACCCTGGGAATAAACAAGCTGCCTAGCGTGTTACTACTTTCATGCTCCAGTCTCATTTCCTTGGAGTAAAATAAAAGACTGAGATCTAAAAATCAGGATTTTAGCTGTCCATGATCTCAACTTTGAGTCCTTCCCCTGTGCCAACCTCAAGGCAGCAGCTGCTGGTTCCTAGGATGGTTGAGGGTCCTGCGTGCTGATCTCTCTCCCACACAGGTTCATTAAACAACCCTTCCCAACCTCCTCAGGGGCTGAGGACACTGCACACACACACACAGGGGAAATGCAAATAAGTTATAATTTTACCAAACAGCTGCGATTATTCTGATAAAAAAGAGCTATTCAAAAGGGATGCCGCCAAGGTTACTGGTCCTGAACATGAAACCTGGCCCCACCCCCATCCATTATTTAAGTTTAAATTTTCACAAGTGAGGGGAGCCTAGAAACCAAGGCTAAAAAAGGTGTTAGCAAAAGAGACGCCTGACTCAGCATCTCTGCCCCAAACATGTACACACATATCCAACAGCAGAAATAGTTAGAAATAAACTCCAGTCTTAAATTCCTTTAAAAAATCCTTCAACATTCTTAAGAATATTGCTTCCGGCATGTGTTGCTAATAACAACAATCCAGAACTGGATATAATGGCACACCTGATCCATACACTTTTTTTTGTTTTTTTTTAAACAAAGTGATCTAAGAGATCATTTCTGAGTAGTTTGGAAGAATGCTTTCAAAATGAGAGGCGTGATCCAAGAATGGTAGACTTAAAAGGATGGGAAGAATAAATTTTATAAAAATCTTTTATTATCCAAATGCATTTCAGTCCACTTTAACTTCTGATAAGGTAGTCAGAATTTTCAGAAGTGCAAGGTATATGTGATTTCCCTCTTTTGAAGAGCAAAACTGAAGCAAGATGCTATCCCATATAATAAACATTCGCCATCCTTTCTGAAACGCACGGAAGCAAAGAGCCTTTGAAGCCGAAACTGAGACACAATCCCTTGCTCCTTGCAGAGACACGCAGATGCCCTCTCCCTTACCCAATACAAAGAGAGCCCACAGGGCTGTATGTAAGGTGGGTATACTGTGGCCGACACGGAGAGGACTCTCTGAAGACACTTTTCCACAAGTATGGCAAGTTCTTCACTTTCATGCTTTATTGAAAGGAAAACAGGAATCAAAGACAGGTATTGGTAAGCAGGTTATGTCTCTAAAGAATTACTTTCAGCTCAGAGCAGAACGTTGTCCCGTCTACTGTGATACAAATCCTTATGGACCAATGCATCTGGTATGGTCCATACCAGCAAGGAAATATAACAGAACTTTATTCCCTCCCATGACTATAAATCTCGTATGTAAACATGATTTACTGTTACTGCAACTAAACTCGTTCAATCTTTACTTGCCCCCTCCCCGCATCCCCCCTTAAATATAAAATTGGAAACATTTCCTTCAAGTCTGATGTCCTTCAGTGCAATCTGCTTTATTTGACATAAGGCATTTGGGACAGTCACTTTTGAATGGTTTTCTGCCTTTTGGAAGAGTCATGGTATGGTTTAATTCTTAAATCCTTTTCTTTAATGCCCTAGCATGTCAAACTCCTCTTCCCTTCTGGTCTTTTCTTAGCAGTCAGCAAGTGTTCAAAAGATTAATGTCCAAGTAGACCAGTACCTGGGAAAAGAAACACATTCGGAGGTACAGTTGTGAACTAAAAATTAAGAGTTCATGTATTCCATCTGCCAAGAATGCATCATCAACAGGGAATATCCAATTTAATAAATGATCACAGCAGCCCTTTGACGTTGAACGATAAGAAAAAATATCAGCAGACTCCGGGCTTTCAGCTAAATCACATTTCTGTTGAAAGCCATGTGTTTCCTATGTGGTATCTTCATGCACATTAATCAGATTTTATCGATGCTTTCATTTGATGGCCAGTTTTCATAAAGAAATTTTTTGCTTTGTTTTATCTTGTTTTAACCACATCAGGAGTTTCTTTGTAGTGGTAACATGTAGACAGCAAAGCTGCATTGAGAGGAAGGCTTTCTTTAGGCAGGAGCTTTGCTAACTCATTTGCTTTAGCAAAGAACCCTTGGTATTTGATTCAAAATTCACTGCTTGACAAGCTCACAACCTGTCATGGACCTCTGGAGCAGGCCGAAAACAATCAAGATGGCATTAGTTAAATCTAAAGGTCAAAGGTCTGAAGTGGATGGATTTGTGATTATTGGTGTGCACAAACGATAGAGGCCAAGATGTAGTATAAGGCACTGCTGTGTTTCCATCTAAGTAACGCCTTAATTCTGAGTAATGAAACCTTTTCACAGAACCTGATGTAACTCAGCAAACTCTTCTCTAATTCTTATCAGTTACACACAAATTGTTGTGCTCTAAGATGGAAACTGTTAGGAGGAACTGGGAAAAGGTTAAATATAAATCTTGAAATGCCACTAGCTAATTCCCCATCCTCCTCCCCGAAATGAGAAAGAAGAAACAGAGTGGACATCTGGCAGTAGGTACTTCAGGCACACAGACCCTTTCTGAGGCCTGAGTGCTGAAAAAGATAATGAAGAAGCTTGAATAAAAAATGCTTTTAACTAAAATTAATTTCAGTCATGAGACTCAGATTGAATTAAATTTTAAAATCAAATTATAGTCTTCATTTAATAGAAAATTACAGTACAACTCTGACATTCATGAACAAAACATGACAAATGTTAACTTACCTTTAAACCCTTCTTCTGGCATACACACTGGGGGGAAAAAAAAGAATTCCAAATTGAAAAGATCGTCATGACAGACAGTAATAAGATCACTTCAATGCCTAAAGACAAAAAGTTTAAAATAACTTTTAATTACCTTACTCACCCATAACGATTACTTTTGAAGTTAGAGATGATAATAAGCAGATGACAATCTTTTTTTTTTTTTATCAAAGCAATAAACAACATATGTACCATTTAAAAAGTCAAATACTGGTATGAGGGTTGTCACTGGAGCCAACGCTTTGCACATGACAGACGCCCTGGAGCCACGTCTCTCCCTGTCCTCCTCCCATTCCCACACTCTAGAGGAGCCACTTAATTCTTGCAGCCGTTTCTTCTGGTCTTTATTTCTATATAACATGCTCGAATCGCTGTTTCTTAGTTTGAGGTATTATTTAGTAGCTTCCTCAGTGGAAGATAAAAATTTAGTTCTTCTACCCCTCTTAACATACCCCTGGCCCTCTATCCCATCCTCCTGACACAGTGGTATTTTTTGCTGTCAAGCATAATCTCCAGTGTTTACATTATTTTTTACTCCATTAATCTTGCTCACAGCTGAACCTGATGTACCCCGGTTATGTTTCTTGTCTGGCATGACTTTCTTATCTTTCCGGGGTTGGTAACTGCTTTCTTATCTAGGTTCTCATTTTCTCAGTACCATCTCCTCTTCAAGTACAAATTTTTGAAGACCTGTAGACCTCAGGACACTCATCTATCACTCCCACTTTTTCCTGTGGACATCCTCTGCCAAAGCCTGCAACCGCTCCAGTCTGGCCTGCGTGTGCCCGCCGCCTGCTGCAGAGCTTCTGTTCTGGAATCTCTCTTTACCACCCTCTGGAGTATCCTTAACTATGCTGGACGCTGATTTTTCTGGTTCCAGTGTTGCCTTTCTTGATTTACTTTTGATTAAGAAGAACACACCCTCCCATAGTATCTAAGCCAACAGTGCAAGAGTGATACGTTTTTTTTGAGGCCTCATCTGCATTCAAAGAGTACCAAGTGTGAGAGTGGAATAAAGTCTGTCTAGTTATGGAATTGAAGATTGGAACTCACTTTTCCTCAAAGTCTTGTGGGCACTGCTTCATTAGTTTGTCTTTCTGACTCTTCATTCTATGAATCTGGTTGGCTTTCCTCCCCTTTCTCTAGATGCTGTTAGAATCCCATTATTCCTAGATTTTCATTTACTGTATTGGGCTCTTGGTGCAATTATTTTTATTTTCATGAATTCTTTACTGTCCTCTGAATGCTCCTTTTATACAGGCCCTAGCTATTTGTTTGCTCTTTCTATTACTTACAACTTTTTAAGCTTTCTAATGCTTCCTGACATCTCTTTCCTCTGAGTTCCTTTCATTCAGTCTGTTGACTGACATCCTTCAGCTCTGCGTTCCTTCCTCAGCCATCTGGTGATCTGTGGCTGCCCAATTCTACCTACTTAAGTGTAAAGTACGAAAGAGATGCCTGAAAACTCTGCTCAGTGGGCACAGGAGGGCTTCAATGCTAGATACCTGGGAGACAAACAGCTTTTTGTAAAAAAAAAAAACAACAAAAAAAACCCTGGTAGGTTATTTTCTTGATTGGCCAGTTTCCTCAGAGCAGCACCACCTGCCTCCTGCACAGGAGGTAAGACAGGGACTCCCAGCATTTGAACAAAGAGTTGGGTGTGGTCTCCCCATTTGGTACGTAACAGGTCTCATTCTCAGCTTTCTCCAATTTCTCCAAAGACAGAGGCATACACATGGACTGCCCAGGTGGGGAAGGGGCACTGACACAGACGTTAAGGGAGGCACTTTGAGAATCTCCGGGATAGCGGCTTGTCTAACTGCTTCTTACAGTTTTCCAACGGAGTCTTCTGCTTTCAGGCTCGTGTTTCACTCCCACTTTGTTTCCCAGGGCTTCCAATCCTGTGTGCCTACCTGAAGCTTTGCTGTTTGCATTAGCTTTGCTCTTCTTGGCCTCCTCTATCTGCAGGCTTACATTTCCTTCAGTTTCCTCAAGTCAGCTAAATAATTACTACTCTCTGCTTTCCATTTTCCACATTTTTGAAGGTACCTTTCTCTCTGTTTCTAGGATCGTTTAAGATAAGATTCTACCTTAACATGCAGAAGCATTTTTCAAGGTTAAAAATAAAAGCATTGTAGACTAAACCTTCAAATCTATTCATTCTACCTCCTAACAAGTTAATCACCAAATTCCTAAAATAAAGTTGTCTTTACCTTGCATGACATCATCCATTGCAGCATAATCTGCAATTGGTTCATCAGCCTAGAAAACAAATGAAGACAATTCAAAACCACAAGGGAATGGTGGGCCAGGAGGAGGAGCATGCCAGATACCCATTACACTGAAGTCTGGGCCAGGAGTTGACAACTGTATTGCTACAGGACACAGCACTGTCCAGCAGAGAACCGGGTTCAGGCCACAGCCTGCCATGTCCAGGATTAACAAAGGATGTCCTGCCAGTGGTGGTTCCTGACTCATCATCCCAAAACCTGTATGTTGTATGTGACATTACTTTCCTGCTCCTAAGAACACCTTTAGATCTGGAAATGTTTAGATATTCTGTAGTTACTAAATGTTGATTTATTAATGTGAGTTAAGATGCTGGTGGTGACAGTGAGTTGAATAGAAATAAAGTCAGACTGGTCTTCTAAAAATACCAATTAGATTAAAAATACATTTTTGTCTTCTCACCACCAAGAACAAATGACCCATATCCTTTTTAGGGCAGCAGTTAGCATTGAGTCCAAGCTTATGGTGGGACAGGCTGCAAAGGCAAAGAGGCCAACAATCAGCATGGGCTCTAGTTGCCCATCTGAAGTACAGACCCGTTAATAATATAGGCTATTGCTAGGATTTTAGACAGAGTCCTTAGGATTCAGCAACTCGATAGGTTTTCAAAGTAAGTCCACAGCCTATATTCAAGAAAAGCAAAAAGTAAACAGAGGGAGGTGATACATGATGGGATTGTGTGTGTGTGTGTGTGTGCAGATATGGGTAGGCTTCACCATTCCTAGGGCCTAACTTTATCTTCCCAGAATTGAGGCCAGAGGGTACGAAAAGCATCCATTTCACAGTTCTAAAACCTGCCAAATATTCTGCCACATGATGCAGTGGTTTCTGACATGGTGGGGATGCTTCTGGACACCAAGAAACAAAAGCAAATCGAAGGCCCGTTAGGAGGGTAGATGGGGCTGATGAGGCTGTTTCACATGATTCTTTTTCTTTGACAGTTTCTCAGAAGATCCTATTTATTTTAAATTGGAATGAAGTTGATACAGAGTATTATATTGGTTTTTCAGATGTGCAGCATAATGACTCAATCATTACATGTATTACTAGATGCTTGCCACGGTAGTGCGGTCACCCCAAGATACTACAGCACTGTTGCTTACATTCTGTATGCTGTACTTCAGCAGCCCCTACATTCTACAACACCTTCCACCTTTCTTAAATCCACTCTAACCAAAACCAGTTTCCACATCCTGGACAAGAATACCATCAAGCCAACAGAGGTACTTTGACTGTTGTGGCCAAGCCTTGTGTCTTAACGTTTTGTTTCCTAACTTGACTGACTGGTGCTTTTGACCCAAGAGGAAAGGAGGGGATGCTTTAATTGCAGAGGTATGCTGAAGTAACTCTAATGATCTGCAAGTTAGGAGGCTAAATATGGATCTATATTTTTAGCAAAAATTATGAAAACTCCACAAGACTCAAGGATGTTGTGACCTCCTCTAAGCCCCTTGTGGCTCAGAGAGAGCTAGAGAGGCCAGAGGACAGCAAAAGCTCACAGCAGGCAATTACTACCCTGCCAAAGACCCAAGGTGGCCAGAATGCCACCACCGCACACAGTTTACACGTGTGTGTCTATCATTAGAGCCTTCTGGAATTTCTCATAAGGAGCTGTCACCTACCTTTAACAAAATGACAGATTCAGGAATGACTCCAAGGGTGCCGAGGGTGGCACAGTCATCGCTTAAAATCTTTCCATCAATTGACAGATTCTGGTCAAAAGGAGCAACTGAAAACGCATGCATGATCTGTGCCAACATAAAAGAAACAGAGTTTATATAAACATTAATGAGACTTACACCCTAACCAAATAAAGAATGCATAGATTCTTTAAAAAAAAAATAGTTCGGGGTACAAAAGAGACTACTGTTTGTAACTCAGCCCACTTGTTATATTCCTACTGAGATTATAATCCCGATATATCTGGAAACATCCTTAGGAGGCCTGGTAGAGAATTAGGGAATAATTAAACCCACAGATCCTTTTGTTCTGCACCTTACCACCTCTCCAAGGGCGGGAGTGTGGGGAAATCAAAGGAGCAGAAGGCTGACAGCTTTTCTGCTTATAAAGCTTGGGCAGGGCCATTAATGCCACTCCCATCATGTCTAGGTAATCAAGTCCAAATTCTTTCATAAGACTATCTTTAATTTCAGCTGAAAACTACTTTAACTCTTCTTCCTTCTGCTTTGATTCCATCAGCAAGCAGCCTGGACTACATTCAGCTCTTGGGACTAAAGTCTTTCCTCTCAGAACCCAAATATAGGCACACCTTGTTTTACTGTGTTTGCCAGATACTGAGCTTTTTTTTTTTTTTATAAATCGAAAGTTTGGGGCAACCATGCACACCCGCAAGCCTACTGGTGCCATTTTCCCAACAGTATTTGTTCACCTTGTGTCTCTGTGTCACATTTTGGTAAATTTTACAGTTATTTCAAACTTGTCATTACCATTGTATTTATTATGGTCACCTGTGATTTTCTGATGCTTCTATTACAATGGGGTGGGCAGGCAGGTGCCACCAACTGCACCCATATAAAATGGCGAACCTGGCTAATGCATGTGTGAGTTCTGACTGCTCTACTGACCACTATCTCCCTGCTTTCTCCCTCCCCTTGGGACTCCCTATTCCCTGAGACACCACAATACTGAGATTCAGTTAATAACCCTACCAGGCCTTTAAGCACTCAAGTGAGAGGAAGAGCTGCATGTTCTGTTACTTCAAATTAAAAACTAGAAATGACGAAGCTCAGCGAGGAAGGCATGTTGAAAGCTGAGACGGGCTAAAAGTTAGGCCTCTTGGGGCAAAGTGGGTAGCCAAGTTGTGAATGCACAGGAAATGTTCTTGAAGGAAACGGAAAGTGCTACTCCAGGGAACATGTGAATGGTAAGAAAGAGAAACAGCCTTTCTGCTGATATGGAGAAAGCTGCAGTTGTCCAGAGAGAAGATCAAACCAGCCACAACATTCTCTTAAACCAAAGCCTAGTCCAGAGCAAGGCCCCAAATCGCTTCACTTCTATAAAGGCTGACAGAGGTGAGGGAGCTGCAGAGAAAAGCTGGAAGCTAGCAGAGGTTGGTTCATGAGGCTTAGGGAAAAAGAAGCCATGACCATGTCAGGCAAGTGCAGGTGGAACAGCAAGTACTGGTGGGGAAGCTGCAGCAAGTTCTCCAGAAGATCCAGCTGAGATTATTAATGAGTAGATTTTCAATACAGACAAAACAACCTTCTATTGGAAGAAGATGCCATCTAGGACTTTCATAGCTAGGGAGGAGAAGCCAATGCCTGGCTTTAAAGCTTCAAAGCACAGGCTGATTCACTCTCTTGTTGGGGGCTAATGCAGCTGGTGACTTCAAATTGAAGCTAATGCTCATTTATCGTTCTGAAAATCCCAGGGCTCTTAAGAACTAGGCTAAATCTACTCTGCCTGTGCTCTATAAATGGAACAGCAAAGCCTGGATGACAGCACATCTGTTTACAATATGCTTTACTGAATATTTTAAGCCCAATGTTGAGACCTGCTGCTCAGAAAAAAATTTCTTTCAAAATATCATTGCTCAATGACAGGGCACCTGGTCACCCAAGAGCTCTGATGGAGGTGGACACTGAGATTAATGTTGTTTTTATGCCTGCTAACACACACCCGTTCTGCAGCCCATGCACCAGAGAGTCATTTCAACTTTCAAGTCTTGCTATTTAAAAAATATATTTTGTAAGGCTATAGCTGCCATAGACAGTCATTCCTCTGATGGATCTGGGCACAGTAAACTGAAAACCTTCTGCAAAGGAGTCACCATTCTAGTGGCCATCAAGAACATTCATGATTCATGGGAAGGGATCAAAATAACAATATTAACAGGAGTTTGGAAGAAGTCGATTCCAACCCTCATGGAGGGCTTTGAGGGGTTCAAGACTCCAGTGGAGGAAGTCACTGCAGATGTGGGGGAAACAGCAAGAGAACCAGAATTACAAGCGGAGCCTGAGGCTGTGACTGAACTGCCGCATCTCATGATGAAACTTGAACGGATGAGTTGCTGCTTCTTATGGATGAGCAAGGAATGTGGTTTCGTGAGATGGAATCTATTCCTAGTAGATGCTCTGAAGACTATTGAAATAACAATAAAGGATTTAGAATTATTACAGAACTTAGCTGATAAGGCAGTGGCAGGGTTTGAGAGGACTGACTCCAATTTGAAAAGAAGTCCTACTAGGGGTGAAACGCTACCAAACAGCATTGCATGGAAGGAAAAGTCAACTGATTTGGCAAATTTCACTGCTGTCTTATTTTAAGAAATTGCCACAGCCACTGCAACCACCACCCTGAGCTGTTAGCAGCCGTGAGCATTGAGGCATCAAGACCCTCCACCAGCAAAAAGATTATGACTTGCTGAAAGCTCAGATGATGGTTAGCATTTTTTTGCAATAAAGTATTTTTAAATTAAGGTATGTGCCTTGTTTTTTAGACATAATACTCTCACACACCTAATAGACTAACAGGGTAGTGTAAACATAAGTATCACGTGCACTGAGAAACCAAAAAATTCATTTGACTTGCTATACTGCAGTGGTCTATAACCAAACCTGCAATCTCTCCAAGGTACACCCCTTATGAATCTCTTAAGAGTAGGAGCATGTACCCTACACTCAGAAAGACAACTATGCATATGTAAACATTTTTTCAAATTCAGAAAACTTATTTTTTATAATTTGTGAGTAGTAATTACCACTGGGAGGGGGAAGGAGGAGTTGGGCTCAGAGAGGCACACATATGTATCTTCAACGATATGTTCTAATTCTTAGCTTGGAGGGTGAGTTCAGAAGTATTCATTTTATTATGCTTCGTGACTTAGTTACATACTCAATAAATGTATCTAAATGCTCAGTTTCTTGTATCACCTGGTGAGGCTAGACAAACAACAAATACCTCTAGCCACGAGTGCCATCACTGAGGTGCTGAGGCTCATACTTTATATTTTGAACACACAGGCAAGGACATTTACGTAAGCAATTATTAAGAAGCTACCATGTGTTAAATACTGAGCTAGGTGGCTGGAACTACAGAAACGAATAATCCCACCTGGAGGGTTCTTAGGAGTGACAGCCAAAGTAGTGAAGATGGGGACAGAGAGTACACAGAGGGTCTAGGGGCGCTCAGGACCAGGGGCAGTCAGCTCCAGAACTAGAGGCCGGAGCAGGTTTTGTAAACCATTCTAGTGGCCATCAAGAACATTCATGATTCATGGGAAGGGATCAAAATAACAATATTAACAGGAGTTTGGAAGAAGTCGATTCCAACCCTCATGGAGGGCTTTGAGGGGTTCAAGACTCCAGTGGAGGAAGTCACTGCAGATGTGGGGGAAACAGCAAGAGAACCAGAATTACAAGCGGAGCCTGAGGCTGTGACTGAACTGCCGCATCTCATGATGAAACTTGAACGGATGAGTTGCTGCTTCTTATGGATGAGCAAGGAATGTGGTTTCGTGAGATGGAATCTATTCCTAGTAGATGCTCTGAAGACTATTGAAATAACAATAAAGGATTTAGAATTATTACAGAACTTAGCTGATAAGGCAGTGGCAGGGTTTGAGAGGACTGACTCCAATTTGAAAAGAAGTCCTACTAGGGGTGAAACGCTACCAAACAGCATTGCATGGAAGGAAAAGTCAACTGATTTGGCAAATTTCACTGCTGTCTTATTTTAAGAAATTGCCACAGCCACTGCAACCACCACCCTGAGCTGTTAGCAGCCGTGAGCATTGAGGCATCAAGACCCTCCACCAGCAAAAAGATTATGACTTGCTGAAAGCTCAGATGATGGTTAGCATTTTTTTGCAATAAAGTATTTTTAAATTAAGGTATGTGCCTTGTTTTTTAGACATAATACTCTCACACACCTAATAGACTAACAGGGTAGTGTAAACATAAGTATCACGTGCACTGAGAAACCAAAAAATTCATTTGACTTGCTATACTGCAGTGGTCTATAACCAAACCTGCAATCTCTCCAAGGTACACCCCTTATGAATCTCTTAAGAGTAGGAGCATGTACCCTACACTCAGAAAGACAACTATGCATATGTAAACATTTTTTCAAATTCAGAAAACTTATTTTTTATAATTTGTGAGTAGTAATTACCACTGGGAGGGGGAAGGAGGAGTTGGGCTCAGAGAGGCACACATATGTATCTTCAACGATATGTTCTAATTCTTAGCTTGGAGGGTGAGTTCAGAAGTATTCATTTTATTATGCTTCGTGACTTAGTTACATACTCAATAAATGTATCTAAATGCTCAGTTTCTTGTATCACCTGGTGAGGCTAGACAAACAACAAATACCTCTAGCCACGAGTGCCATCACTGAGGTGCTGAGGCTCATACTTTATATTTTGAACACACAGGCAAGGACATTTACGTAAGCAATTATTAAGAAGCTACCATGTGTTAAATATTGAGCTAGGTGGCTGGAACTACAGAAACGAATAATCCCACCTGGAGGGTTCTTAGGAGTGACAGCCAAAGTAGTGAAGATGGGGACAGAGAGTACACAGAGGGTCTAGGGGCGCTCAGGACCAGGGGCAGTCAGCTCCAGAACTAGAGGCCGGAGCAGGTTTTGTAGAAGCACTATGAAGAACGAACGGTGTTTGCTAGCAAGAAAACCATATTGCAGAATGAGGGCACAGGCCAATTACAGGCATGGAGGCCTTTGGTACAATAATACATAAAGTGCTCCCTAAGTGGCAGCAGAGTGCTCAAGCATCATTAACATCACACGGGTTTGATTTACAAAGGGCGCGCAGCATTCCTGATCTATAGAGCGCAACACCAGCAATGAAATCCTTGCCCCCAAAGGTGGGTAGCTGCACACTGCTAGCTATGGTACAGGGTGTGTGTGTGTGTGCATCAATCAGCAAATACAAGAGCCGTGGCGGCTTCGGCTGCCAGCCGTTCAACCTCTGGACCAAAATTTCCTCCTTTCTATAGTAGGCAGTACCACCCACCACAGCCTATCTCTCGAAAATGAAGTGACACAATTAAACACTGAGCATCTTCTGAGAAAAGAGGTAAATAAACTGTATTTAATTTATTTTTGGCATCATAGGTGATGAATTAATGATAATTAGGTGAATAAAGTTTCTTAAAATGTCAAGCAACTATAAATGGGTATGTCTAGAATAAAGTATTTACAGCGTTACAAAGACTGTCATCCTGTTAACTTGGAAATATAGTATCCCTAGAGGAAAGGTTCCATCAAACATAAAAATGTGTTACATGCTTTTTAGGGCATCATTCAGCAGCACCAACTTTGCACGGCACCAATGCCCGCTGCAAATTCCAATGCCGTCCAGGCTGCTAGGCAAAAAGGTCTCATCTAGTTAAGTTTTCAAAGCTACCAGCACTGAGCAGCGAGGGGAAATTACACTTCACTGCTCTTTCTTTTGCCTGCTTGGATCACAGTGGTCCCTGAGCAAGGGTGGGAGAGGAGAGAAAGGGCACTGCAAAGCAGCCTCCCAAGAAGAGCATATTTGGGGGTGGGGGATGGTTTCATCTCAACAGCTGCTGATTCTAACAACTCATCTGTGCGGGTAACCTGCTCCTAGAGAGAGGTTATTTCTGCTGACTTCTGATTTACCCTGCAAAAACGGTCGTCCATAACAAAGCAGCACAGGCGTTTTAAATGTCTTTATCCACGGGGGCTCTTTTTGTAATTTAAAGGTTTTGAATGTGGAAGGTTTATCACCGACAGGCAGAGCACGGGTGACAGAAACAAGCTTTCTCAGATGTAAAAGGTACAGTAACAAACAGTAAAGATATTATGCCGACACGTTTTTTTCTTTTTTCAGAGCCATGGGTTCAACCAAGGGAAATACTGTTTCCAGGACAATCTGGAACACATAACACCCTCAAAGAAACCCTGTACTTATGCCTCAATTACAATGATAAGTATCAGCAGCAAGAAAAAAATGTATAACCAGTAAACTATGCCACATAAAATAGCAAAGAGGGAAATTTGGTTAACTTTTTGGATATGTATCAGTGACTTGAAACAGATTAAGGGCCAGATTTTTTTCATGGACATCTTGAATTTATCAGCCCCTTTTGCCTAAGTTTTGAGACATACTATTGGCATGTTCATTTACAGCACTTTAATACTGATACCAAAAAATAACAGTATCACAAAGCATTTTCATAACGCCTACACTACATTCACTGAACTGATTTGCAAAGCAATGCATGCTTTTGGAAGGGTGAAGAGGGAACGATCTAAAATGAATTTTGCAAAAAAATTTTGAAAAACTCAACTCTATAAAGAGAGGTAAAGGTAACTTTAAAATTCAACCAAACAGATTTATCTGACACTAAAAATATGTGATAAGAAGAATCTGACTCATCCAAATGGATAAACAATTACAAAGGTGCTATTTACCTCCCCTTAAATTTCACAGATCCTGGTAACAAGCTCAAATACTTACTAAGTGGTCAAAGAAAAACACACAACACCATACACTGAGCACAATTATCCTGGAACAACCTTCACATTTAACAAATTAAATGGCTCTCAATGTTTCTCATTATTGGAAAGCTACTCAGAATTCACTCACATTTTCAGAATCCAAAAACCACTTTCAACTTCACAGAAAGATTTCCCGGCTATTTTGAAAACTTAAGTCTTTTTAAAGAAAGAGTTACTTTAATTTGAGGGCCCTGCAGGCATTATTCTGAAATCAAAGAGGCCCTTTCTCAATGGCTTAATACTATGAGCAGATAGAGGTTTAAAAGGTCAACCCTGAAAGAAAACCGAGGCATATATAAACATGGGTGGAAAAGGTGGCATTCAGGACGGTCCTGTATGTAAGACCAGAGCATATTTTTTTAAATGCTGTATTTTCCTCACCTGAATTTTCAATTCTTTTAATGTTTGATTAGCAGAAACAAGAAGTGCTTTCTCACCACGAACTTTTCTATGTCGCATACTCCGCCGAATAACTTGCTTTTGATAGGCTATATAATTTTGGTGAGATATCTTTTGCCGCTTTGTTCCTCCATTGCTCTATAATATAAAGTTCCAAAACAAAGAAAGCACTGAAATTATCCAGTGTGACCCATGCTCATACAGTTCACAAAGGCAAGCAAAAGCAGTGTACTTATTGGTCCCTTAACCATGTGACATTCAGTGTCATTAATGAGTAGAAACTTGTCAGAGGTTCTTAGTAGGCTCACATAAAGTTGAAAAAAAAAGAAAAAGTTTGAGTGAAATAGACCTCTAACTGCATGTTAGGCTCCAGGATTTAAAGTAGTTATTATAAAAAGGCCATTTCAAAGCAAAATGTTAAGTCTGACCTTAAACCACAAAAGTGATAAACTGAAAAAGGTTAAAATTTAATTCATAAACAACCTGAATCCTAGTTTGTTCAGTGAAATGAAAGATAGTATTAAGATATCAAGTTTAGTTTAAAAACAAGTAAGACATTGTGCCTCTTCACAGAATCACAAAATATATAGCTGCCTATGAAATTACTCTTAAAAAAAAAAGTTAAACTTGAATCTAATCAAACATTTAGACAATTTACAGAAAATACAGGGAACAGAGGAATCAAAATCAAACAATTTACAGAAAATACAGGGACCAGAGAAATCAAAATCACTAACTTGATTTAATCAACAGCTTAAGAAAGCAATCAGTTGACTCCGGAATGTGAGACCATCTACAAGAAATCAAACTGAGCTCGTCAATGTCAAAGAGGAAAAGAAAGGGGGTGGGGAGGTAGGATAACTGTTATAGATGCTAACAGTCTAAAGTGATAAGAAACAATGCATACCTTGATTGCATGCTGGCTTGAGTGTGTCGGGGGGACTTATTTAAGACATATTTGGAATAGCTAGAGAAACATCAGTGTGGGTAAGAGGACACTGTCTTACATGCTGGTTTAAGTATTTAGAGGTGAAATGTCATCATGGACATGATTTACCTAAAGACAGTTCAACAAAATGTACAGGCATGAATATGGGCACTTAATACATACTAAACGAGTCCTAAGAAAAAAATAATAGAAAAGGACCAAATTTCTTTCTATACTATTCTTGTAAATACCTCATCAAGAGGTTAAAAGTCAAGATTATTCTGATAACCAGGCCAAGGAATGAAAGAAACAGGATTTTTTTAAAATGTTAGTCTCTGGTTTAATTACATCTGGATGAGGTAACCCCAGGCTCTGGCTCTGGTTTCCATAGTTGCCACTGAGTGTCAGCTGTACACAAGCATAGTAGTTTAGGGGTCATTATGGATACAGATGCCACATATTCATGTAACAACAGAGCTCCAGAGATTTACAAAGCAGAGGAGGATCAGGATGCAAATACAGAAGAACATTTGCTCAGAGTGATGGCCAGTGGCTAGACTGACATAAGAAAGTTAAGTGAACATGGGAGTTTAAAAAAAAAAAAATCAAAGTTGGTTAAACATTTTTTTCAATCTCAGCTATTGAAAGAAAAGATAAAACTGGACCAAAATCCCACAATAAAGACTCTAAGGAAAAATACCTACAAAATAGAATTTTACTTTAGAAGTAAAAACACAGCCAAATAACAAAGGCCTGAGCATTAAACAAGATACATTTTGTAATGACTCTGATTTTACATGGATCTAAAAGCTTTTCCCAGAATTATTTTTTCAAAAAAAAAAGCCACAGAATTTAAATCTAACTCATCTGACAAAAACCAGCCCACTGGTTTTAGAAGGCTTTCAATTACCTAAGTGATATCCAATACTGGGTGCATTATTAACCTAAATTGTAGATACTGTCAAAGGCAACGGAACTGGGTTTATCTAGCTTAGAGAAAAGAGGAAAGGGGATTTGTTCACCTCCATTAAGGACAAGTAGAAATGCACCATTTTCTATTATGGGATTTGAAACAGCAATTACAGAAGCTATCTATGTACTGAAATACTGCAACGTATGATGAAGAAAAGGTTTGAGGTGGCTGACATTCTGAAAGGGCTTGACATTATTCTGGGGCTATCTACTCTTTCCATACACTTTTGAGATTTTATTGTGGGACAAAAAACACTCCAGAGTATTACAACACCCAAATAAGGAAAAGGAAGACAAGAAAATTATAAAGTAAAAAATTATAATTGCAATATAAAAAGCAATGTTTCCTAACATTCCCGATCATATTTGTAAATGTGAAATTTGTTGTCATCCACAACTGAGAAGAGTAATTCCACATCTACTTTTCAAAAATTTTGTGGTTATGACCACAATGAATAGAAGTAGACATTCAAAAGTTAGCTTCCCAAAAATCTACATTACTTGAAAATGTAAAGAATTTTCTAAATAACTCGGGTTGAAAAGCAAAGCTTGAAGTAACAGAACCTAAGGACAATAAGAACAGACATAACTTTACAAAGTTTACCAGGAGAGTAGAAAATGAGATGGTGAAAACAGGCATTAGGGATTTGAAAAGAGATGTGATTCCCAAATTATTATTAAGCCATACTCCCAAGAGATTTTAGAACTGTAATACAGTCCCTGCCAGCGAAGCAAATGAAAGAGAACGGATTCCTAAACCAGGATGAATATGTTCATCCCTGCCCCACCATGATCATGCCCACACATGTACTTTTAATTTATCAACTAAAAAAGCAAACTGGCTTGTAGATCTGAGACTGGAAGGTGGGTTGTATGAGATGGGCCATGAAGAGTTCACAACAAACAGATTAGAAGACAGCAAGGATATGTTTGCAAATGTCTATCATGAGATGTTATTTGAGTCAGAGATCTCAAAACCCTTCCCAAGAAACAGAAGACATACATACATGTAAATTTTAATAGGGCATTATTCATTATAGGAAAATATCCTCTTAAAATGAAAAACCTGCATTCCTAGACAATATATAGGTTCGGTTAGCATTGGTGCAAAGGGGCCCTCCAGTGGGAGAGAACCAAAAATTTGACAGAACAATTTTAACAAGAGTGGCTGATCACTGTCAGCTGGTGGCATCCAAAGTACATAGTTTAATTCTTTCATAGGTATTTTCCAGTTGGCACCTTATGAAATCCAGTAAGCCATGGAAAACAAATGCTCCTATCTCTTTGTACTGGTTGGGAAACTACCGGTAACATTTACCTCTGGGAGACCAAGATTCAAGTCAAGAGGGCTTTTCAGACTTAACCGAGGTTGTTAATGAAGTGACAGTGTCAGTGTGTAGTGACAGGCCAACATGCCCAGATCTTTCTGCTCTGTAACAGATGGAGCGGGGGGGCCATCACAACACTGTCACTCCTTCAGGGAGAACACTAGCCATATTTGTGTTTTAGCAGTAAAGAAAAAGATAAATATCACATCTGTTAAAATGAAACTAAATGCATAATAAGAGAAAAAATTCCATGAAATGAAGGTATCTACAGAATATCCGGGAACAAAGAGGTCTAATTTTTTGAGAAGTTAAAACTTACCTAACATATTATCAACCAAACATTCCCACATATAAACACATTGTTTATAAGGTAATTTTCTCCAATATCACTATGAACATGCAGAATATAATCAAGCAACCAAATAAGAGGGGTACAAAATCATCAACGGAATACAGAGAACATAGGCAATTTTAGTTGAAGAATTTTAAGTTCATGACAATGAAAAATGAAAGACTAATGGTGATCTGGTCATTTGACTAACACCTTAATCAGAGACCCAGAAACCTCTTTTATAAGCTCCATTAATTCAGGCTATTTGTTTTGCTTGCAATGAGGGAATCTAAGTAATAGTTTCATACTTTAAGACTACATGATTAAGCAACAAACTAAGATATGGGTCTCATTTTTGTCTTCTTTTCCAGCTCAAACTTTAATCATTACATTATATTTAAGCCTTTCTTAATAGCAAGAAAAACAAATTCTGGAATAATGTAGCTTGTTGCTTTTCATGAGAAATGAGAATAAATATAGCATGTCACCGGAACTAAGGAAGAGGAAAAACAAGGCAGGGGCTGAGAACCAATATCCCACACTGGGTACAGAGAGATATCCAGGGGCTTCAGAGTTGCTTTCAACACGTACTTGATTAAAATCTGGATCTTTTTCTCCATCCAGTTTAGCTTCTTCCTTATCCTCCTCTGTTTCAGAGCTACTCACATTCAGCTCTGGAGCCGAATCCTTCATCACCTGAATGTGCCAGGAAAAGAGCGAGAAGTGGGTCAGACCTTTGGAAGGCAAGCTATGGAAGGTGCAGGAGCTCCGACTGGTCCTTCACCAAGAGAAGAGACAACTGTGGGATAATAGACTGGACAGAGGATCAAGACTCATGGGCTCTGTTTTCCATGCTCCTTTAACATGTTAGTTTTTATCATATGATTTCTTCTTGTATTTAATGTGGTCATCATAAATTTAAGGGGTTTCCACAACAGATATTATTATCCGGGTTTTACAGTAGTGCTTTTTTGCTCAAAGATGCTCTACATTTTCCCTGGTACACACAGACTGTCAACCCTTTTCAAGTTCTCAAACTGTTCACACAGCAGGAGTCACAATACCCCTTAAGACAGAGAAAAAGAAGCTGCAAGAAGTGCTCTTTCACACTATGAAAAATACTGTTATGAAACTAAATAATTAATAAAAACATCAGCTAAATGTATACTGCTTTAAGTACCTATATATGTATGTACTTATAAGTACAAAAGATTTAAGAAAATTCTAGGGGAAAACCAAGACGTTTATATTCATTAACTTCATTTTCTTAGCAAATAAGGAAATGGAGGCCTTAGTTTTAACTTGTGAAGCAGAACCCTAGACATTTAGAGCCTACTTGTTACCCTCCTAAAACAATGTGTTTAGTAACTATCAACAAACAAAAATGTATTCTATTTTGTCTTCAACTCCTTGACTTTAAAACCTTGGAATCTAATTGAGATGTCCAGAGATCTGGGTCAGGATCTAAGAGCCATCCCTAATACAGTAAGTGCTCCAAATCCAATCCGCTGCAAGTTTTAACACCCCTACTGCCAAGATACAACCCAATCTGTCGACTTCATCTACCTTGTAGACCAAGGCAAGATGCTATAAACTGGCCTTCCTTATATGCTGTCAGGTACCTGCCAACTCCAAACACAATGATGGCCCAGCTGCCATTTTAGAGTATAAATCAGATCACACCATAACCTTGGTTGAAACACTCCAGTGGCTTACATCTACACTTAGAATAAAACCCCAACCTCTTGGTATAATAATGTATAAAACCTGACAGAATTTGGTCCCTCATCCTGTATCACTAACCCTCCTTCGAAGAAACTACCCTCTAGACCAGCGCTGTCCACTAATGGTAGCCAGGGGCTACAAGTGGTTATTTAAATTTAAATGAATTAAAAACTCAGTTCCTCTGAAACCCAAGCCACATTTCAAGGGCTCTACAGTCACATGTGGCTAGCTAGTTAGCAGTGGCGTAGTGGACAGCGGACACACTATGCAGAGTTCTATGGGCACTGCTGCTCTAGGCACGACGATTCACTCCGGCGCTGAGCACACCAGGCTTATCTCTGCCTGGAATACTCATCACAGGCTGGATCTGACAGTTAATGGTCAGGTAAAACTCCTCCTTCTCTGAGACACTTTCCTATCTATTCCCCAACTAACATGTCACCTCCACCTCAATCAGTCTCTCATTTCACCCTGCTAGATTTCCTTCCAAATGCTCTCTCCTCTGTTGAAGCATCTTATGTATTTGTGGGGTTTTGATTAGATGGCTTGTATTATTTTTTTCCTGAAGTAATTATAGCTGATAATACAATATTGTATTATATATATATGATTTATACATTATACAAACTGTATTACATACTTTCAGATATACAACATGACTTGATATTTGCATACATTGCAAAATACCACAGTAAGTCTAGTTAACATCAGATGTCATACAAAGTTACAGACTTTATTGTGATAACTTTTATGACTTATTTTCTTTGCAACTCTCAAATCTGCAATACAAAATTATTGACTACAGACACCAAACTGTACTTATGTCCCCATGACTTACTTATAACTGGTAATTTGTACCTCTTGATCCCCTTTACTGATTTCACCCATACTTCCTATCCCCTTCAGCAATCACCAATCCATTGTATCTATGAAGTTTACTTTCATTTTCAGATTCCACATATGTGAAATGATATTATAGTTGCCTTTCCTTCTCAACTTATTTCACTCAGCGTAATACCCTCCAGTCCATCCATATTTTCACAAGTGACAGGATTTCACTCTTTTTAATGGTTGAGCAATATTCCATTGTGGGTATATACCCCACATCTTCTTTATTCATTTAATCTCTCAATGGACACTCAGGTTGTTTCTGTATCTCAGCTATTGTAAATAATACAGCAATGATGATAGGGGTGCACCTATCTCTCAGATTAGTGTTTTTTTCTTTTCTTCAAATATGCAGATGTGGAACTGAATTGGGTAATATTTCGATTTTGAATTTTTTGAGGATCCTCTGTTATTTTTCATAATGGCTACACCAAGTTTACATTCCCACCAACAGTACATAAGGGTTTCCTATTCCTCACATCCTCACCAACACTTGTTATTTCTTGTGCGTCTGATAATAGCTGGTGTGACAGGTGTACGGAGATACTTCACTGTGCTTTGGACTTGCATTTCCCTGATGAT